CTCCTATAAACATGCATAATTATTGTATAGTTACAACATGAATAAAATATAGAGAGAGACTTACTTAACTTTATCCCATAATCTGAGGAAGGGCTTAAACATACTTTAAGTATTGTTCTGAGTTGTATATGAAATAAAACCATGCCACTTTTAAAAAAAGTGTACAGTTTTGGCTACGTTTCAAAAAAGTGTACAGTTTTGGCTTTGATTATTCTAATTTGACTTGTTAATTTTTCAGCTATTGCAATCTGCCATAACTCAGAATACCATAAGTGTAGTGTTAATAGTTCTGTGGCTTTCCAACTGTCCTGCGTACTGCCATTAAAATAAACACTATTAGTCCTTTAGAAGTCACCTTTTCATTTTGTTTCTCCCATATTGTTAATAGGGCCAAAGCTGGTGTTACACAGATGGTTTGATGTGTAATTTTTGCTATTTCGAACTGTGACACTGCTGGGCATAGCCACCACATATCAATATAATCACCTTGCTGATTACACTTTCTCCAGCATTTTTTATTGTTTGTGTTGATAATTCTTGCAAGGTGAACTGGGGCGAAATTCCACCTGTGTAATAATTTCAAGGAGTTCTCTCTAAGAGCTATTGATATAGTTTTCCTTGTTTGGGTAAACCATATCTTATTCCAAATATTTTGCTCAATCTTTATTCTGATATCTTTCTCCCATGTTATTTTCAACCCATTTAGTGAACCTGAATCTGTCGAAATTAAATAAGCGTATATTTTAGAGGTTACTCCTTTTAGACTTGTCATATGTTGCATTAAAATCTGTTCAAATTTCAACAGCTTTCTAGTCATGGTTTGCCTTGCCATAGAGTTTACAGTTAGGTAATGCAGTTGATATAGCGAACTGGTATTTCTGGCCACTGTGGGATACAGAGTGTTGGACTGGATGGGCCTTTGGCCTGATCCAACATTGGCATCTCTTATGTTCTTATCTCTCATTCTATAGATCCCCTTTTCTTTCAATTTAATATAGCTTTCTGATTTATCCAGACATGAGAACTTGGGATGTAGTATGATAGGAATCAATGGGGATATCTCTGGGATCAGTTTATTTTTCCATTTAACCCAAATTTTTAATGTAGTATATAGGAAAGGGTTCTCTACCCATTTAATGTCTCTTTCTTTTTCCCCTCCAAAAATGATTTTCCTAAATTCAAATGTTTCCCAACTGCTTCCATGCTCACCGAAGACTTATCAGAGGTTCCATTTAAACATGACACCAAGGCTCTCAATTGGTTTTCCACATAATATTTACTTACATTTGGTTCTCCCCATCTTCCTAGATCCGCCCTTTAGTATCTTATAGCCTTCATAAGTCTTGCTCTGAGTGCGAAGTCAAATATAAAACTGGTAAAGATTTTTTGCCAACAGGCTAGATCCCTTGATGTAATATATATGGGAAAATGAATCCCCCCCCAAAAAAATTTTTTTTCAAACATTCAACCTCCTCTTCTCCAGACCAAACATTCCCAAGTCCCTCAGCCTTTCCTCATAGGGCTTGGTCTCCAGGCCCCTGATCATCCTTGTTCTCCTCTGTACCCGCTCCATTCTGTCCACATCCTTTTTGAAGAGAGGCCTCCAGAACGGCACACAAAACTCCAGGTGCGGCTTGACCAATGCAGTGTACAGCAGGACTATGATATCTTGCAATTTGGATGTTATGCCTCTGTCGATACACCCCAAGATCACATTAGCCATTTTTGTAGCTGCATCACAATGGCTGCTCATACTTAACTTACGGTCCTCCTGCATGCCAAGATCTTGTTCACACACAGTGCTAACCAGAAGTGTATGTGTGTTCCTTATTTTTGTTACCCAGATGTAGAATCCGGCACTTATCCTTGTTCAATTGCGTCTTGTTCACATCCACCCACTTTTCCAGTGTGTTTAGATCTTGTTGAATCCTCTATCTTCCGGTGTGTTCACTGCTCCTCCCAAATTGGTGTCATCTGCAAATTTACTGAGTAGCCCCTCCACACCCTCATCCAGATCACTGTTGCTGATAGAGTATAGTGAGGAAGTGTGTTTCAGAGAGGGAAAAGGAGAGGAGGCTGAAGTTGGTTCCTTATTCAATAAAAAATGTAAATTCAAAAAAAAGAGGGAAAAGGACTACTTCTGAGGAGCGGGGGGCGGGGAGATGGACAGGAATAGTTTCTTAAGGTGGGAGGCGTACTGAAAGTGGAGTACACATAGTGAGTCAGGACAGTCGACAAAAGGGGACATTCACACAGCTCCCCACCTTCCAATGAAAAAATGCCACAAATCGCAGGTAGGTGGAGGGCATTGTGATGCTGTACGGAAGGGTAAGCTTTCTGAAGTTGGCAATAGCACCTTGTACCAAATTACCCCCAACTTCAGACTTTTGCTTCTAAACTTCTGTCTATGATTGGGACAATGTACGTTTGTGTATGGCTCTTTTCTGGAATAAATCTCCATATATCAAAAGTACACCCTCAGCTTACAGATACACACCTAACCAGCACACTCAAGATTGCTACAGCACAGAGATTGACTCCAGGTTTTGATGCAGTAGTTCAGAGAAAGAGAGGTCATTTATCAAAGACCGTAAAATAAAGGAAATACTCTAAGCCTGTTAATTATTAAGGATGTTTGTATATTGAGGAAAAAATAATATTAATTAGTTTTCTAAAGTGTCTGGTACCTGGCATTCTTTCTCATGGATCAATGCCCTGATGTGGTGAGGGGGCTTGCGTCGTCCGATGAGGCTGTGGGCTATGCCGTGGAGGGCCACCCGGGACAGACAGGCCAAAGTGGAGAACTCAGACAAAACATGATCTACTGGAGAAGGAAATGGCAACCCACTCCAGTATCTTTGCCAAGAAAACCCCATGGACAGTTACAAAAGGCTAAAAGATATGACACCAGAAGATAAGCCCCTCAGGTCGGAAGGTATCCAGTATGCTACTGGGGAAGAGCAGAGGGCAAATACAAGTAACCCCAGAAAGAATGAAGCAGCTGGGCCAAAGCCGAAAGGATGCTCAGCTGTGGATGTGTCTGATGGTGAAAGGGAAGTCCGATGCTGCAAAACCTGGAATGTAAGATCTATGAATCAAGGTAAGTTGGAAGCCTCAGGTTCACCACGGGAGCTCTACGCTTCCCAGATGTGGCGCTGTGATCGCGCTCGGAAAATCCACCTATCTTCCGTCTCTGTAGCGTGGCTAATGCTCCGTGTGACCGCAGCCCCTGTCAGTAAAAACAAGACCTGGAGCTGACTGTGGCTCGCATCATGAGCTACTCTTTGCAAAATTCAGACTTAAACTGAAGAAAGTTGGGAAAACCACTAGGCCGTTCAGGTTTGACCTAGATCACATCCCATATGAATATACAGTGGAGGTGAATAATAGGTTTAAGGGACTAGATTTGATAAGACAGAGTGCCTGAAGAACTATGGACGGAGGTTCATGACATTGTACAGGAGGCAGCAATCAGCACCATCCCAAAGAAAAAGAAATGCAAGAAAGCAAAGTGGCTTTCTGATGAGGCTTCCAGGGCCCTTTTTGTAGCAGGAACTCCTTTGCATATTAGGTAACACACCCCTAATGTAGCCAATCCTCCAAGAGCTTACAGAGCTCTTGTTACAGGGTCTACTGTAAGCTCTTGGAGGATGTCCTTGACAAGCTCTTGTACGATGTCCTTGACAACCATGACGGTGTGCCTTAAGGCAGACATCCTGGAGTGCGAAGTCAAATGGGCCTTAGAAAGCATTACTAACAACAAAGCTAGTGGAGGTGATAGTATGCCCGCTGAGCTATTCAAAGTCTTAAAAGATGATGGTGTTAAAGTGCTGCACTCAATATGCCAGCAACTTTGGATAACGCAACAGTGGCCACAGGATTGGAAAAGGTCATTTTCCAATCCCAAAGAAGGGCAATGCCAAGGAATCTTCAAACTGTCACACAATTGCACTCATTTCACATGCTAGAAAGGTCATGCTCAAGATCCTACAAGCTAGGCTTCAGCAGTATGTGGATAGAGAACTGCCAGAAGTTGCCAACATTCGCCCGTTATTTGGAAAGACTTTATCTTGCAAGAATATGTTCTACCCTTCAGGAAATTGATAAATTGTAATGGATTTAACCATGGAATGGGAAGAGACAATTTCTGAGAGTGTGATGTTTGGAAGAAGTTCTTCTTACGAAACGGAACCTTAACTCCGGAGAATTTCGTCCATCTGGAATTACATAAAAGATTGTATTATATGCTTTGAATCTATGAATGTCTGTAACTTTGTAAGATTATAAGCACTTTTTGCATTATCTACAGCTTAACTGTTATTGTCATTTGTTGTTGGCTATATAAGCTGTACCCACTTGCATGAGTGTTATCGATGCAACAAACATGAAATTAAGCAAACTTCGGAGGATGATGGAAGACAGGAGGGCCTGGCGTGATGTGCTCCATGGGTTGTGAAGTCAGACTTGACAGTGCGACTGAAGAACAACAACCTGGCATTACACTGTATGGCACACATGGCCCAGCCAGACAACGTAACATTTATGTCATATCCTCGTAGCAATTGAATTTGAAATCCCTCCCTGGGCTAAGAAGTTAGTTACATGGCTTTTCCTTGTGTGAGTTCTTCAAAATAGCCATGCTGACTGAATCTCTTTCTATTCAAAAGGTTTCTGCCCTCTGTAGATTCCTTGAGGCTATTGAAGATGGCCACTCTGACTGAATCTCTTCCCATGCTCTGAGCATTCAAAAGGCTTCTTCCCTGTGTAAGTTCTTAAATGGACACTGCAGAGCGTCATTTTTAGCGTCACTCTGACTGAATATCTTCCCACACTCAGAGCATTCAAAAGTCTTCTCACCTGTGTGTGTACTTAGATGACTTTAAAGAGTGCCATTCCAGGAGACTCTCTTCCCACACACTGAGCATTCAAAAGCTGTGTGGATTCCTGTGATGCTGTTGAAAAGTGCTACTGTGACTGAATCTCTTCTCACACTCTAAGTATTAAAAAGACTTCTGCTCTGTGTGGGTTCTTAGATGATTTCGAAGGTTGTCGCTCTGACTGAATCTCTTCCCACACTCTGAGCATTCAAAAGGCTTCTCCCCTGTGTGGGTTCTTATATGTTTTTGAAGATGGCTACTGCCACGGAATCTCTTCCCACACTCTGAACATTCAAAAGGCTTCTCCCCTGTGTGGGTTCTTACATGTTTTTGAAGATTGCTACTGCCACAGAATCTCTTCCCACACTCTGAGCATTCAAAAGGCTTCTCCCCTGTGTGGGTTCTTAGATGTTGTTTAAGAGTACTACTGTCACTGAATCTCTTCCCACAAGCTGAGCATCGAAAAGGCTTCTCCCCCGTGTGGATTCTTTGATGTTTTTTAAGATTGCTACTCCCACGGAATCTCTTCCCACACTCTGAGCATTCAAAAGGCTTCTCCCCTGTGTGGATTCTTAGATGACTTTGAAGATGACCATTCTTACTGAATCTCTTCCCACACTCTGAGCATTCAAAAGGTTTCTTCCCTGTGTGGCTTCTTAGATGACCCTGCAGATAGCTGTTGTAAATGAATCTCTTTCCACACTCTGAGCATTCAAAAGGCTTCTCCCCTTTGTGGATTCTTTGATGTTGTTTAAGAGTATTACCATCACTGAATCTCTTCCCACACTCTGAGCATTCAAAAGGCTTCTCCCCTTTGTGGATTCTTTGATGTTGTTTAAGAGTATTACCATCACTGAATCTCTTCCCACACTCTGAGCATTCAAAAGGTTTCTCCCCTGTGTGGGTTCTTAGATGAGTCTGAAGATGATTACTCTGACTGAATCTCTTCCCACACTCTGAGCACTCAAAAGGCTTCTCCCCTGTGTGTGTTCTTAGATGACTTTGAAGATTGGCACTCCTGTTGAATCTCTTCCCACACTCTGAGCATTCAAAAGGCTTCTCCCCTGTGTGGGTTGTTAGATGACTTTGAAGATGGCCACTGTGACTGAATGTCTTCGCACACTCTGAGCATTTAAAAGGCTTCTCCCCTGTGTGGGTTCTTAGATGAGTTTGAAGGTTGCTGTTCTGACTGAATGTCTTCCCACACTCTGAGCATTCAAAAGGCTTCCCCCCTGTGTGGGTTCTTAGATGTCTTTGAAGATGGCCACTGTGACTGAATGTCTTCGCACACTCTGAGCATTTAAAAGGCTTCTCCCCTGTGTGAGTTCTTAGATGAGTTTGAAGGTTGCTGTTCTGACTGAATGTCTTCCCACACTCTGAGCATTCAAAAGGCTTCCCCCCTGTGTGGGTTCTTAGATGTCTTTGAAGATGGCCACTGTTGCTGAATCTCTTCCCACACTCTGAGTATTCAAGAAGTTTCCCTCCTGTGTGGATTCTCTGATGCTGTTTAAGAAGGAAACTATGACTGAATTTCTTTCCACACTCTAAGCATTCAAAAGATTTCTCCCCTGAATGGCTCCTTTGATGCACAAAAAGCTGTGACCTGTACATGAAGTACTTTCCACACCGAAAGCATTTCCATGCCTTAATTATACTTTGCTTTGAAAAATGTATATCACCCTTTCTTCCATCCAAGAACTTTCTTCCACTCTCTGAACAGGTAAGGGGTTTCTCTCCTGAATGAATTCTTTGATGTTGAAAAAGGTCTGATTTCTCTGAGAAGCTCTTCCCAGAGTCTGAGCAGCTATAAGGTTTCTCTCCTGTATGTGTTCTTAAATGTCCAAGGAATTCTGATCTGCGAATCATGGTCTTTCCACACTTCAGGCATTGATGGGTCTTCTTTCCACCGTGCATTCTGAAATGGACGTTATACTGGGTTTGATCAGAGAAGTTCATTCCACACTCCAAGCACCTGTATGTTTCCTCCAACATGTGAACTATTTCTTGGACATCCTCCCCTTGGCAAGGAATGGAGTTGTCCCTTTTCTTCACCCTGCTGTTGACTTTCTGCCTCTTAGACCTTAGTTGAATCCTGATGTTTTTTCTCACGTCTTCCTTCATGACTTCACCTGGAGATAGTTGATGCAGTTTCTCATCCTCCTCATTCCTCTGATTATCCCCTGCTGGAAAAAAGAGAGAGAGATCCTGTTAGATTCCATGCAAGGAGGTCTGATCTGGACCTGAAGTTCCAGCCACACTCCAAATATTTCAGTGGCTTCTTCCTGCTGTACACTGAAGTGTACAATCAAATACAAAGTACATTAAGCCTCCTGCATCAGAGAAGCTTGGTTTGGACTCTGACCATTTCTATGGCTCCCCACCTGTGTGACTTCTTTTAATGTGAAGTAGGGCTCTTTTCCAAGTGAAGCTCTTTCTGCACTCCAAGGAATTATAGTTTCTCTCCTAAGGAAATTTGCATCCACAAAATGATGTGTATTCTATGACTGAAAGTCCTTACAAAGGCCACACTTCCATTTTCGTTTTCCCTAGAGTAGATTCTCTGGTTAGGATGGAGGCCTTTGTTCCTTCTTATTCTGATTGACCTTTCTTCTTGGACTGAGATTTTACAGGAAACCCCCTCCTTGGCAAGGAATGGGCTTGTTATGATCCTACTGGTCTCGTTACGATCTATTCTGTTGTAAATTGTTATTTTAAAGTGGTTTTAATTGTATGGTACTGAGATTGATGTAACCTGCCCTGAGCCTGCTTGCGGGGAGGGTGAGATAAAAATGCAATAAGTAAATAAATAAAGAAATAAAGGTCTATAGTAGTGCAGCCTACAGGCTATAGGGAGGCCTAGTGGCTCCAGGGAAGCCTGTACTAGAGTAGCTATCAGAGCCTACCTTTCCCAGGTCTCATTTGGACCCTGTGGTTGGCTAACAGGGGATTCGGAGGGGAAACTTACACCAGTAGAACAGTAGAGGGTGTTTCCTGTGAAAAAATTATAAAGGGCTTTGCCCAAAGTGGGAGGGGGTTCACTCCTAGGAAGCAGAGCTATTTTGAAGCTGCTGCAGATGGAGGGATCCCTCATCCAAAAGGGGTGAGTCAGCATGAGGCGAAATACCTAGAGAAGGCTAGGTACAGTATAGTCAGACACATTTCTTATTTTGCTGGTTTACCTACATTTACTATGCTCAATTTGCCTAGTGAGAGCCAGTTTGGTGTAGTGGTTAAGTGCGCAGACTCTAATCTGGGAGAACCGGGTTTGATTCCCCACTCCTCCACCTGCACCTGGCTAGATGACCTTGGGCAAGCCATAGTTCTGACACGAGCTGTTCTCTCAATGACAGTTCTGGAAAGAGCTCTCTCAGCCCCACCTACCTCACAAGGTGTCTGTTGTGGGGAGGGGAAGGGAAAGGAGATTGTAAGCCGCTCTGAGACACCTTTGGGTAGTGAAAGGCGGGGTATAAATCCAATCTCTTCTTCTTCTTCTTCTTCTTCTACATGTTATTGAATTACAGCAGTAGTTAAATCTGTTCAATAAAAATAGTTTATTACTCTGCCTGGGTCCTCATGCGGTCACTTATAAGGGGACAACTCCCGGAAAAGTGGTCTTCTTCTTCTTCTTCTTCTTCTTCTTCTTCTTATTATTATTATTATTATTATTATTTCTATTAATCACTTAATCCCTACGATTGTGGGGTTCTTGGCGATGTACACATTTTAAGACCATAAAAACCGTATCCAGCAATTTATCCAGGATTGAGGCAAGTGGGTAAAAATGTTTTATATTTCTCTGCCATATCTGGTCCGTGGGTGCTTCGCAAGCACAGGGGAGGGAGTAAGCTCCATAAGGAGTGAAGGATCCTGGTAGGGTGCCGGCCAAGATGAAAAAGGTTCCTATCCTCAATCAAATGCCTAGCGGAACATCTCTGCCTTGCAAGCCCTACAGAATTGCATAAGATCCCGCAGGGCCCTGATGTTATTTGGCAGATGGTTCCACCAGAGACAGCCGGATCTCTCTAGGGCCAGGGACCTCCAGTACGTTGTTCTGTGAAGAGCGCAATGCTCTCGCAGAGGAGGCGGTCCTGCAGATAAAGGGTGGGTGCTATGGGCCCTCCTGAGGAGACCCATGCCAGAGTGGTGGCAGCCATAAGAGAGCTTTTCTACCCGCTGCCTGCAACAGGGCTTTTCCTCTTACCTGTGTGGCTTCCCTCCTGCATCTGTGGTCCTTGGAGAAATCTGACCACGCTGATTAGACAGGTATACCTGGCTTTTCTTTCTCTGTCTTTCTGTGGCAGGTGCTTTCCTGCCTCAAGGGGGTGGAGGGGACTTAGCCTTTGGGAAGGAGTTGGTCAATTGCCTCTTGGGGAGATGGGAGGTTGCTGCAGGGCTTTCTCTATCCTCTCGTGGCCCAACCAACTGTGCTTCAACTGAGAACTTGTCTCTGCGTTCACTTAGCTGACAGAATCAGTGGGAATCTCTTTAACAGCACACTGCTCTACCCTCTTGGGGTGAGGACTGATCCCCCTCACCACAACAGATGGTGCTGTGTGGTTTGGTTTAAGCCAGTTCCCTGTGGGTTGCTGTGTTACCTGGTGGGACTACCTGCTGCAGTCCACCTCCTGCAAGGTAGAACAGCTCCAAAGAAAGCACTCAAACACCTTTCCACCTAATAGCAAGGCCTGAAGGCGTCCATGGGAAGACAGCCTTCCCATGGACCTCGTCTAGCAGGGCTGTTCTTAGGTAACGCCCCCTATTTAAGGACAGTGCAGCCACTCAAGAGCCACAAACGATTCCCAGCCCCAGAAGGCCTCTCTCCCTCCTTACCCAGCAGGCTTGATAAGGCTACCAAACCCAGAGTTCCTAAGAAGGGAAGAGGAAAGGTCCCCTGGGTATGCCTTCCCATTCCCATAACTGTAATAGACACTCACTTGCATCCGGTTCATTTGGGAAGGAAATAGTCTCTTGCGATCTTCCGGAGAAATTCTGCAGCCATTCTTCAGATGCAAGGCCTTTGTCAGTCTCCGCCGTAGGGCCTCTTACATTCCTGGCTTCTTTGGAAGAGACAGAGAGAGAGAGAGAGTGCGCAACCATTCTTATATGTGGAAGGAAAGAAATCCAAGGAAGAGTAAAATTTCTTATGGAAGGATGGCCCCGTGGTCAGGATCAAAGCCCTCAACTGTAACCAGTCTAAGGCGAAATGGATCTTTTCTGGACTACAGTCAGAGTGGATGGCCATCATCCCATCTAGGGAAGGCGATCTTCTGAAGGTGGACAACTGAGAAATGGGGATCTGGCTCCCTCCAAAGTCCTTCTGAGGGCCTCTCAGCCACACCTCGGCCTACGGCCAAGACACCCTCTCTGGTCCGGGCGATGGCCACAACACTGGCCTCAGTTGCCCATGCATCAGTGGGGGGGATTGTATTGCTTTACGTGGCCATGCTGGACAACACTTTCACGGCCACCCCAACTTCTCAAGGCACCCAGTGGCGGCCAAGTAGAAGGGCAGGCCTCACAAACATATATTGCTGTTCAATATTTTGATTCCTGCATCATCCCAATGGCAGCAATTCCCACCTTTGACACTTATGAAAAATCCTTACCCAGAAAAGCCAGGCTACCATAGATCTCCCACATGACTTCCCTGTAGAGAGCTTTCTGGCTCAGATCCAGCAGGGCCCACTCCGCCACAGTGAAATGCACGGCCACCTCCTCAAAGGAAAATGGAGACTGAAAGAAAAAGCAGATTCCCTCGTCAGAAATCATGCCAGATTTCTCTCATAACAACTAATAAAATCACATATAAAAAGTGAACTGTTATAAGCAAGAACTCTACAAGTATATTGTGATATTAACACTTAAAGTACTAACAATTTTACTAACAGTGAAATGATCTCCTCCTCTTGGGGTTTTAGTTTAGTATGGTTTGCTTTCCTTTATCCGTAGTTGTAGTCCCTTCCCTAATATTTCTTTGTAGTTTTTTGTAGTATTTGCAAAATAAAAAATATCCCTCCGGGGATTTAAAAAAAGAAAAAAAGAAATCATGCCAGGCAGAGACTACACTCTCGATGGGGGTATTTGGTGAGGGTGCAGGATGTAGAGTTTGGTATGTGTAAAAGCAGTGCCATTCAGAGCCTCCCTGCGTCAGAAAGCAGGAGCAAAAGCATCCCTGAGAAAGGAGTGAGGGCCCTGGCTATCCCCCGTTCATCACTCCCTACCTGGACCAGAGGTTGAACAGCCATTTCCACTTCTCTGCAAAGAAAATAGCTCGATAACATCTCTTCACTGCCTGCAAGGGAGACAAAATTGGAAGGAGGATTTTTAGCCTCAAATTCCTATTTTGTTTGTTTGTCTCAATACTGCTCACGCATCCCCATTCCCATGGACCTCAAGAGGTTATAAATGCTGCCAACACATTTCAGATTCCTGTGAGACTTGGAATGTGTCCTGGAGCTCTAACGGTTGCAGCATCCCTGCCAGATCAGACCAAAAGCCCAGGCATGACCTTCTCCCGCCTGCTGGGCCTTCTTACCCATCCTGGAGTCCGGAAGGGAAGGAGAAAAAGAGGCGACCGGAAATCACGTGGCACGACACTTCACCCATCACATCCAGCCCTAAACCCATGTGGTTTTAGTGTATCAGCTGATGCTCTGGGAACTACAGGGTACTACCAATATGTTTCCAGAGCGTCTGCTGATGCTCTGGCTTCACATCCAGGTATTTATCTGGACAAGACATGAAAATGACACCATGTCCACCCTGTGCTCTGTCCTCAGACCTCACAGGGGTGGCAGGACGTGGCCTGGCATCCCTAGTCACGTGGCCTGGCGTCCCTAGTCCTATCCACCCCCCCCCCGATGCCCCTGAAAAGTCTTTATGCAGAGACCGAGAACCGAAAGGACTGGCCCCTGGCAACGGGTTTCCTGAGATAGGCTGCCCCAGAACATGGTGTGTGTGTGTGTGTGTGTGTGTGTGTAAAGTGCTGTGAAGTCACAGATGACTCACGGTGCCTCCACTTATTCAGGGGAACAGACATTCAGAGGCGGTATGCCATTGCCTGCCTCTTGCATAGCAACCCTGAATTTCTTTGGTGATCTTCCAGTCCAAAAACTAACCAGGGCTGACCATTCTTAGCTCTGATGACACTGGGCTAGTCTGGGACATCCTGGTCAGGAGAACGTGGAGGTTCCATTTATTCACCATGGCTAATAGCTGCACCCAGATTTGCTTTCCTTTCCTTTTTTGAGCCACCTTGAGTCCTTTTAATGGAAGGAAGGTGAGACATACGTATCTCAATTAATATAAATAAGAATGGAATTGCTCTCCATGAATCGGTATACTTCTCCTTAAAGTGGAGTGGCCATCACAACATCCTAGGGCACTATTTCCCAGAACTCTATTCTACGTAGTCTGCAGAACTATCTCCCTTTTCTCCTGCCCTGAACCTTCTGCTCAACAACTTCACTATGTGCCCCGATCCCATCAGGGCAAGAGGCACCCTTACCACTTGACAGGGCATCTTGGGCATGTTCCTGGGCCTGCGCCCTCTGACCTTCCTCTGACGGAGCTCCTTCTGCCTCAGAGAACTTTGCTTCCGCCTTCAGGGATCCTCCCCATATCTGAAACAACAGAAGGGAGAGGGGTAAGAGGAGGAATGGAACAAGCTGAAGAGATGGATCCTGACCCACTCCCAGACTCCTCATCCCTGACTCCTCCACCACCAGAGCAGCTTTAACCACAGGGGCCAGAACCAGGGTTGGGTTTTCTTCCCATCCTAGTGAATGATCTAGAGGTAGAAATATCAAGGACAAGATGGGAACAATACAAGGAAGAATTATAAAAAAAAGAGATGAAAGGAGGACAGATTCCTTTCAAGAAGAATCTTTTGAAGAACCAGGAAGAGTTTTAGAAAGTAAAGCTGCACTGAGAACAATTGGGAGAAACAAATCACCAGGAGCAGATGGGATATCAATAGAGATATTCCATGCCACAGAAAAAGGAGTCCATCAAAATCTTAACAAGAATATGCTAACAAAGATGGAAAACAAAACAATTGTCCACGGACTGGAAACACTCACTTTACATTCCAATTCCAAAAAATGGAGTTGGGCGAGTGGGCGTCAACATGGCAAATGGGGTTCAATGTGGCCAAGTGCAAGGTGATGCACATTGGAGCCAAAAATCCTAAATATAAATACACGTTGATGGGGTCTGAACTGGCAGAGACTGATCAAGAGAGAGATCTTGGAGTTGTAGTAGATAACTCACTGAAAATGTCGAGACAGTGTGTGACTGCAATAAAGAAGGCCAATGCTATGCTGGGGATTATTAGGAAGGGTATTGTAAACAGATCAGCCAATATCATAATGCCGCTATATAAATCAATGGTGCGACCTCATCTGGAATACTGTGTGCAATTCTGGTCACCACACCTTAAAAAGGATATTATAGCTTTGGAAAAAGTGCAGAAAAGGGCAACTCGAATGATAAAAGGGTTGGAACACTTTCCCTATGAGGAAAGGTTAAGGCGCTTAGGGCTCTTTAGCTTGGAGAAACGATGACTGAGGGGTGACATGATTGAGGTTTATAAGATTATGCATGGGAAAGAGCAGGTAGAGAAAGAGGTACTTTTCTCCCTTTCTCACAATACAAGAACCCGTGGGCACTCCATGAAATTGCTGAGCGGTCGGGTTAGAACGGATAAAAGGAAGTACTTCTTCACCCAAAGAGTGATTAACACTTGGAATTCACTGCCACAGGAAGTGGTGGCGGCTACAAGCATGGACGGCTTCAAAAGGGAATTCGATAAGAATATGGAGCAGAGGTCCATCAGTGGCTATTAGCCACAAGATATAGATAGGGACTCTGGGGCAAGTGATGCTCTGTCATCTTGGTGCTTGGGGGGGTCAACAGTGGGATGGCTTCTAATGTCCTGGCACCTCCTGATGGCACTGATATTTCTGGCCACTGTGTGATACAGAGTGTTGGACTGGATGGGCCTTTGGCCTGATCCAACATTGGCATCTCTTATGTTCTTATGGTCTTATGTTCTTAACTAGGATTATATTGTAAGGAAGAGGCCCTTAACATTAACTCTGAAAAAACCAAAGTGATGGTCTTTAGGAAAAGGGCTCAAATATCCTCCTTGGCAACTCAATAAATCAGTGTTGTTCCTTTAAGTATCTAGAAATTACAGTTGAAGTGAAATGTTCAAATTGCCACAGTAAAAGCATCTGCGACAAGAATTGTGCGGTCTATTTTGAGGTTTTACTATACGAAGGGTGGCTTTCTTATTGACCCCATTTTAAAATTATTTAAAAATAAACGGTGCTGAGGTTTGGGGATGGAAAGAGGATAGCCTTACTAGTATAGAAACAATTCAAAATCATTTTTTAAGGTGGATCCTGGCTCTTCCTAAGGGAACGCCAGTCACCCTGATGAGAAAAGAAACTCGGCTACCCTCCTTAAGGGCACGGGTGCACCTTGCTGTTCTAAAATCTTGGGGGGAGGGAACAGAGCTGTCAGTTCTGACTCATTCAGTCAACTGGCATTTCATTCAATGTTATCCAAAGACTTGGAGTGTTCTTGTTCTCTTATTAATCTATTCTCAATATACTCCATTCCTGATGAACTTCTCAGTCCTTCAACCATTGGTAAATTGTTGACAGGCTATTGGGCCCGCAATTCTTTACACCTACTGTTGGAGAGCATAAAATCTTAATTTTATTATACGCAGATGATATGGCTCTAATATCACTTAGGTGTGATGCTTTGTCAGACAGATAGTTAATCTTAAAATCACAGTCTGCTCCCTGGTTCAAGTCATTTAAGAACGACCATGTTAGGTCCTCCTACTTAGTATAGATAATCATAGCCTCAGAGCAGCCTTCGCATCCTTGCGTTTTGAATCTATGCCAACGGCTGTATTAGCCGGCTGCTACAGTAGAACGCCTATGGAACAGCGCTTTTGCATTTGTGGCTCTTCTGTTATCGACGATCTTCCCCAGTATATTCTTGAATGCTCGATGTATGCCCAGCCTGGGACTTGATTGGACTTACGTTTCTACTCAGACTCTGAGAAGATTGTATTCTTGTTAGCTGATTCCGATGCCAACGTATCTTATAGAATGGCATTATATACCTTGGCTGCAAAGAAAATGTGGGCCAACGCTGTTCTTATGGGAATTAATTGATATTGATCTTAGCGGAAATTAATTGCCTATATCTTTGGTTTATTTTATTCTGCTTTTATGGTTTTATGATATCTTACATTTTACGCCATTTCATCCCAGTATTCATATTTATAGCATCCCTCTCTGTTGTTATCCTTGGTTTGTGATGGCCTATGGCTAAATACAAATAAATTTCTGATTCATTTCAAGAAAAGTCGAAGGCAGCAGGAAAAGAGGAAGACAAAACACGCGATGGAGTTCTTGTTTTCTTAATAATCTATTATCAATATACTCTATTCCTGATGAACTTCTCAATCCTTCAACCATTGGGCTGAGCAAGGCTGTTCACGAGAGGATGTTTGGAAGCAACTTGATGGCAGTTCACACACACAGAGAGAGAAAGACAGATAGTTAATTGAATGCTTGATTTTTGCCCAGCCTAGATTAAAATTCTTCTCTGGGACTTGATTGGACTTACGTTTCTACTCAGACTCTGAGAAGATTGTATTCTTGTTAGCTGATTCCGATGCCAACGTATCTTATAGAACGGCATTATACGCCTTGGCTGCAAAGAAAATGTGGGCCAATGCTGTTCTTATGGGAATTAATTGATATTGATCTTAGCGGAAATTAATTGCATATATCTTTGGTTTATTTTATTTTGCTTTTATGGTTTTATTATATCTTACATTTTATGCCATTTCATTCCAATATTCATATTTGTAGCATCCCTCTCTGTTGTTATCCTTGGTTTGTGATGGCCTATGGCTAAATACAAATAAATTTCTATTTCATTTCAAGAAAAGTCGAAGGCAGCAACAAAAAATGAAGACAAAACATGCGATGGATTGACTCAATCGAGGAAGCCACAGCCCTCAGTCTGCAAGACCTGAGCAAGGCTGTTCATGAGAGGACGTTCGGAAGCACCTTGATGGCAGTTCACACACACACAGAGAAATGCCTGGCAGGAAGCCTTAGGATAAGGTCACTGCTTGAACGGAGTGACTGAAAACTCCATACCTGCTGAGCCTGCCTCTCCTCCTCTGCCTGACTCAGGAGGAACCCTTCGGCCAGGGCCACTGCCTGGGAACTGGTCTCCGGCCCGCATCCTCTGACCCAAGACTGCACTTCCTGGGGCAGGATGGCCAGGAACTGCTCCAGGACCACCAGGTCCAGGATCTGCTTCTTGGTGCGTCTCTCTGGCTCCAGCCAGTGCTTACAAAGTCCATGGAGCTGGCTGCAAACCTCTCGGGGCCCATCAACCTCATGGTAACGGAACTGCCGGAAGAGTTGGCTGCGTACATCTGCAGTCATAGTGTCCTGAACCAAAATCTCTGGCACAGCTCTTTCCCAAAATTCAGCACCACTCCCTGCTTGGACGGGATGGGGACCTTTCCTGGATGGCTGGCCTTCTGGGTCCTTCTCTTCCATCTTTTCCTCCTTTCTCTTGGGTTGCCTCCGACTCTGGAAAGACACTCTTATTCACCGGGCTGTGAAAAGGGAAAGGTATCAAAGAAAACAAAAGAGAACTGAGTTACATCACTGACCCAGGTGAAAAGACACCTAAGGTTTACCTTGGTGGATCAGAGGGAGCATCCTTGTTGTGGTTTGCAGATCAGGATTAATGTCACTGTGGTATATTACGTATAAAGCTTTTAAAGATAAACCTGTTTAGTCCTTCAGGCAAAAAACCCACCACTTTCTAACTTTTTAAAAATTTGTTGTGGATGTTATGAGCTTGTCTTCCAATTTCTAAGGAACAGTCTGTCTAGTCGGTACATCACAAAGTAAACTGGAGCCCAGGAGAAAGCGACTGGTATGGGCTCAACCTTCGTAACAGGCCGGAAGGGCTGGGCAATATCAGAGGGGAAGGGGCAGAGGGGCGTCAGGCCGCTCCAGGTCAGGGCACAGGGGCTGCTGGGTGAAGAGGAGCAGGAGAAGGCAGTGATGCGGTAGAGCTCCTCAACAGCTTCCTGGCTGCTGGGATTAAATGGTGTGAATAAATTGAAAGTAGATCCTGGAACGACAAGCGTAATGTTGTTTGAGGAGGCAGAAGTCTTGAAGGACATTATGCTCCCCGCTTTTGATGGGGTTGAGCTACCCCTTGCTGACTCAGTTAAGAGCGTTGATGTTATACTGGACCCAACATTATTTCTGGAGAAGCAAGTTAATGCAGCTGCAAAAAAGTCTTTCTCCCAACTCAGCCTAGCTCAAAAAATAGCCCCTTTCCCTGATAGACCTCATCTGGCCACCAGGAACCATGCCACGCAGTGACACCAAGAGTAGACTAGTTCAATGCAGTGTACATCAGTCTCCCCCCAAAACCCATTCCGAAACTCCAGGTGGTGCAAGACATCAGGTCTGGATTCTAATCAGGAGCTAATTAGAGCAGGCATATTACTGCTGTTCTGGAGCCTTCCACTGGCCAGCCTGTACATGTGTCCTTTTTGTTATGGTCCCTGCAAGTGAAGAAGAGTTGGTGTATACCCTACTCTCTCACTGCCCAAAGGCATCTCAGTGTGGCTTACAATCGCCTTCCCTTCCTCTCCCCACAACAGACACCCCGTAAGAAAGGCGGGGCTGAGAAAGTTCTGAGAAAACTGACTGGTTTTATTATTTATAATTTCAGTTTGTCAGCTGCCCTTCTCTGAGTTCGTGCTTGCACACGAACGCTTATTATACCTTGAATACAACTTTGTTGGTCTTAAAGGTGCTACTGGACTCAAACTTTATTCTGCTGCTTCAGACCAACATGGCTACCAGCTTGAATCTATCTTCATGAAAGGCACCACATTAAGCCACAGGGAATGGAACTCCGCCAACTTTAGGGAAGAAACTTCCACAGATACAGACTTCTTAAAGGTAAAGGTTCCCTTGCTCGAAAGCCAGTCTAGGGTTGCAGTGCTCATCTCCGTTTCAAAACCGAAGAGCCAGCGCTGTCCGAAGACGTTTCCATGGTCATGTGGCCGGCATGACTAAACACCAAGGCGCACAGAATGCTGTTACCTTCCCACCGAAGTGGTACCTATTTATATACTTGCAATTTCTTGCTTTCGAACTGCTAGGTTGGCAGGAGCTGGAACTAGAGATGGGAGCTCACTCCATCACGTGGCACCCGGGTCTCGAACTGCTGAACTACCGGCCTTCCGCAGCCTGCAGTTCCACAGCGTCTTAACCACTTGAGCCACCACAGCTCCACAGACTTCTTACAAAATGCAAAAATCTGCACTATTCTGAAGAAGCGTGCTTGCAGGTGAAAGCGTATACCTTGCATAAGACTTTGTCTGTCTTAGAGGTGCCCGGGACTCAAGCTCTGCTCTATAATTAATGCACATGAATAAAATACCCCACCCCACCCCGCCCAAATGTGTTGTATTTGGGGTAGTCAATCAGCATGAATGATTCCACACATGTGATCACCCCTGGGCCTCCCTCCGCCCTCCACGGTTCTGAATTTATTTGGATTTACAAAATTCAGATCCTGCCCTTCAGCCCCTGCGAGGGACACCCTGGTGGCTATTTATTCAATCAGATTTATATTCTGGTCCCTCTCCCCGGAATGGGACTCGAGGTGACTTGCAAAGAATAACATACAACCGATAAAGCTACCAAAAAACAAACAACCCACCACTTAAGACACACAAAACGATTAACAATCTATATCCCTGATAAACTCTGTCCACCCGGTCAAGCAGGGCAGAATGGAAGGATGCGGCTGGCCGGGCAGATCCACCACCTCCCCACAAGGCAGGCGCCCCAGGACCGGGCTAACACAGGGAAACCCCTGCATAAGGCAACCACCTTTGAAACGGATTTAAACACACACACACACACCCTCCCCCAAAGGCCAGAGCCGAATTTCTGTCTTCCGAGACTGAATGGACCTACTTGAGAGTAAACCTTCCCAGACTCCGGCTGCAAGCCTTTCCCCCGCTTGCTTTCGCACGTCCGGAAGCCCTCCCTTGCTCGGCCTCACTAGCAAACAGCTCGGCTGTTTTAACCCTTTCAACACCGCCGACCCAGGGGGGAAAAAAAGCTTCTTTCCTGTGAAGACCCGGCGGGGACTGGGCTTCCAGCTGGCCCTATAACACAGCTCAGTGGGGCTCCTCTGGAGTCACTCTGCACAGGGCTGCGCTCCCCGGGGACCCCAGGGGCTGTTTCAGTCGTCTTCAGAAAAAGGAGGCTGAGAGAAGCCGCTTCCCGGTTCCTTACTCTCATTTCCCCGGTTCCTTTCTCCTCCACCTCGCATAAGGACTGGAAAACATGGGGGGTGGCTGTTAGACGTTGTTAGGTGGTGTAGTGTTAGGTTAGTGTAGTGTATCAAGTCCTCAATTTACAAAAAATTGCTGCAACAGTTCAAACATTCACAGAATGAGGACAATAATGTATTGGCATTTCCATGTTGTTTTAATCCAGAGTAATGTAGGAAACATTATATGCACTGTGTTTATTTTAAAATAGGAATTTTGATAAAGACTGCCTCGAAGCGAACATTGAAACTCGAGGAAGTTCGTAAGCACTTCAGTGACTTGATGTCCTGACCTGTTGAAAAAAGAAATTCTGGATTAAAACAACATGGAAATGCCAATACATTATTGTCCTCAATCT